GGAGGTGGTGGGGTGACGATCCCCTGGGAGGGGTTGATGAGCCCCTGTGGGGGTCCCTAGAGAGTGGCCATCTCAGGGGTCCACAAAGCCACAGCCCGGGTCTGAGGCCCCAGATTCCTGGGCTCACCTCATCTGACTGAAATAGGGGGTGGGGGATGGGATTGACCCCGGCTGTAGAGAAGAGCAGCCAAAACCCCAAAGGGCCAAAAGGCTGAGCGCAGAGCCAAGGGCGACCCATGGGGCCTGGGCGGGGAGGCCAGGGCCGGGAGGCCAGGACGGGTGCGGGGCCAAGGCTCAAGGCCAAGGCTGTGTGTCCCAGGCCCTGTTGGGGCTGAGCCTGGGCACCGCGGCCCAGCGCCCCGGGGACAGCCCGGGAGGCGCGCGGGGTCCCGCGAGCGCACAGCGCAGGCGCCCTCAGTCCCAGCGGGCCCGGGCTTGTTGTACAGTCGGGGTCACCACCGCTAGCCGCGCCCCCAGTGGGCCTGACCGTGCGGAACCACAGGAGCAAGCGCCGCGGGGTGCGGGCCCCTGGAGCGACTCAGAGAGGCCGGTGTGGGCCTGTGGGCGGCCACTGCCCTGGTGCAGCGTGAGTCTGTGCTGGGCAGTACGCGGTGGCGTGTGGGCTGGACCCTCAGGAGCCCCTCCGGGGCCCAGCCCCTGCCCGGGACTCTGACAGTCTGCCACCCCACTCTCGGCGGACACCTGGCCTCCCCCCACCACCCCGGGCCCCGTGCTGAGCTAGCCGACTCCTGGAGGGCCCTGTGGGCTGAGCGGCGCTCGGGCGCCCCGGTGGCGTCTGCCCCTCCCAGACTGAAGTCACCCCTTGCTGGGACGCGGCCCCTGGCCTCTGTCGGGGTCCCCCAAGTCTGGGGGTGGCTGCCCCAGCGCCTTTCCCAGAGCCTGCCTGATCGAGGCGCACAGGGCCAAGGGGGCGTCCAGGCAGAAATGGAGGCTGACCCCTCGCTTGTCTGTGTGCCCCACTCTTTTCTCTGGGTGACTCAGGGGTAACGGATACTGGGGTGTGTTGCACTTTATCACGTCCGGGCGGCCCCGCGGGTTCCGGGAGACACTGGGCCTGAGGCCTGCGCTGCGCATGTGCGCCTCCCTTTGGGGGGCTGGGGTTCAGAGCCCCAGGCGGTCAGGCCGGTGTCCGTCAACCAAAGGGGCAGAACTGACAGGTGGGTAGGAGGTGGGGGGGCGTGAGTCGGGTGGGGCTTGGGGGCTCGTGCTTGGTTCCCCAGCCTAGGGCTTTGGCTTGCGCCTGCGCAGTAGTCCCGCCCTACGAGTGGGGAGAGGGGGTGGCTAGGAGGGGCTGGGTGGTGGCAAGTTCTGGCCACTGGTCACTCCTGAGGGCCAGGGCCGGTGGGTCGGGGTCCACGGCCCCACAGGGACCCTCCGAGGGTCAGGGTCGAATGTGCAGAGTCGTGTCCCGGACTCCCCTAGACACTCTGGGGAGCGAGGCGCGGGCTCCCAGAGTTGGAGGAGGGGCCCTGGGATGGGTGTGGGGCGGGTGCTCGGGGTTCGCGGTCGAGGGGCCTGGGGCCCTGAGAGGGTTGGGGTGCCACGGCCTGAGCAGGCCTGGGTGTGCCCCAGACAGCACAGCACGAGCTGCCCGCCGTGGGCGCCTCCTGGTGGCGGGGCGGAGGTTGGGCAGCCAGACCAGACCCCGGTGGGTGTGGGGCGCAGCCTTTTGCTGCAGGGGAAGCAGCCCTGTGCCTGAGAGTGTCCGAGGAACTGGGGAGCGCTCCCTGGGGTCAGAGCCCCTTCTCCTCTCCCGTGTCCACCCAGGCCCGTGCCTCCTGCTGGGCAGTGCAGTGGCAGGATGGCGCCCAGCCCCGGAGACGGAGACGGAGACGCAGACGCGACGGCAGCTCGCGGAAACCCATGTGTGACGCCAGCGGGACTCCATGCGAAAGCCCATCTTATATTTGACAGGGGTGAGGGCCGGCCTCAGGGGTTGGCCTGGATGGTCTGCTGGATCCAGGGCACGTAGTCTATCACCTTGGTGTAGATCCCGGGGGCATTGCGTCCATCACACATTGCCGGGTCCCATGAGGCAATGCCGTGTAACTCGCCATCGCAGATCAGAGGGCCTCCGAGGTCACTCTGCGACACAGGATGCAGAGGGAAAGGTGGCAGTGGGGCCCCGGCCTGCACACCTGGGCTCAGGTGACCCAGTGACCCCCTGCTATGGGGAGAGCGAAAACCATCTCCAGAGCCCGTGGCAGGAGAGGGGGGTCCATCCTGGGGTCAGACGGGTCCTGGCTGAATTGGTGGGATTCAGGGTGCAGCCTCTGTAGGGTCCGGGACTGGAGGTCAAGGGGGATTCAGTGGGATTATGGGCCGGGCCCTTTCGGGACCCACATGCTCAGTGCCCCTCTCAGCATCGGCTCTTCTAGAACCTTCTCCTCACAGTCAATGTTATGAGAGGAGCTGGGTAAGTCATATATGGAGATGGCGGTGCGATCTCAGGTGCCCGGGGGAGCTGGGTGGGCTCAGAGCTGGCAGGGCCCGGGCACCTGGCCTCACCAGGGCAGCTGAGCCGGGTGGGCCCCGGCGGGGACTCACCACGCAGGCAGCTGAGCGGGGCTCCTCCTGGCCGGCACACAGCATGTGCCGTGTCACCGCCTGGGGGTGGGCCTGTTCACACGCGTCTCTGGACAGGACACTGGTTTCCGCGCACCGCAGCTTGGTCTTGTGAAGGTCTGTAAATCGGGAGGGTGAGGAGGGCTAGAAACCCCACCCCCCCCCCCGTGCCCAGGGCCCGCCCCGGCCCCCGCACACTGGTATGATGAAGCGAGGCTGCCCCAGCCGGCGACGTGGCAGTTGCTGCCCAGCTGCGGTTCCCGCGTGGGCAGGCTGAGGATTCCCACGGTGTCTGTGATCAGGGCAGCTGCGTGCAAGCGCACCAGCATGATGTCGTGGCTGAAGTCGTCCTCTGGGGTGCGAGTGAAGACATTTTGGAGGCTCCGGTTGAACTTGGGGTGTGGGATGTGTTCCACACCCTGGAAGTACTGGGCTCCCAATGTGTGTGGGGAGTTCTCCCGGTGCAGGTACTTCTTCCGGTGCGGGTACTTCTCCCGGTACGGGGAGTTCTCCTGGTGTGGGTACTTCTCCCGGTGCGGGGAGTTCTCCCGGTGCGGGTACTTCTCCAGGTGCGGGGAGTCCTGGTGGTGTGGGAAGTCCTCGTGGTGCGGGGAGTCCTTACGTTGCGGGGAGTCCTCGTGGTGCGGGGAGTCCTTACGGTGCGGGGAGTCCTCGTGGTGCGGGGAGTCCTTATGTTGCGGGGAGTCCTCGTGGTGC